ATATGCCACCATTACACATTACTAACTTTGTGTCTCCTCTCTCCCGTAGTGTGTCCTCTCTCTCTCCCTGTACCTTTCTGCAGGTTGCCCTGGCCCTGGAGCTCTACGTCTCTGACGAGCAGTCGCCAGCCACATCGACCTGATCAGTGTTTGATTGTTGTGTCTTGTTGCTTTTCTCCTTTTTTCTCTCCTCTATCCACTCACCCCAACCGGTCGAGGCAGAAGACCAACCACCAACAGCCGGGGTCTGTCGGAGGTTTCTTCCGTTAAAGGGAGTTTTTCCTCCCCACTGTCGCCAAGTGCTGCTCAAGGGGGATTTGTTGGGTTTTCCCTATGTAATAATATTGATAACAGTAAGGTCTAGACCTTAGTTAGTAAAGTGTCCTGAGATGACTTGTTGTGATTTGGCACTATACAAAAATGAATTTGATGTTAAAAATATGGGTTAATGGTTTACATATCCCCTCAATTACCCACTTGACAGTTGTCATGGTGATACCATCACTATCACTGGATGTTTTGTTTCCACATTTATTCACTATCTCTATAATTTCCTTTTCAGCTATGGGCTTCAAAAACATGGAACTCATGTTCCTTTCGATTGTATTATTATTTATAGTGACGGATGTATCATCTGTACAGATACTTTTTGCTAAACCAGGACCAACATTCACAAAGAACCTATTAAACTTTTCAACTACATCCTCCAATCTATTGACCTGTGTATCATTATCCATAAAATATTGAGGGTAGTTACTCTTTCTAGAACTATTTCTAATCAATTTATTTAATATATTCCACGTACCTCTCATGTTATTTTTATTATCCTCTAATAATTTAGAATAATATAGTTTCTTTTTTTGTAAATCTATTCTCCTCAAAATCTCAGTTAATTTGTTCTTGTATGACTTATATCTTTCTTCCGCCTTCTTTGATCTGTCCTTTATGAATTGCTTGTATAACGCATTCTTCTTTTTGCATGCATTCTGTAATCCCTTGCTCATCCACGGTCTCCCACTGTAATTCCTTTTATATTTATACTGCTTACGAGGACAGTTCCTGTCATATACATTCTTAAATATATTTTAAAATTTCTCATATGCTTTATCTAAGTCCTCCTCTCTGGTTCCCAGTTTTGCCCCAAGAAATCATCTTTTAGCCTCCTTACCGCATGTTAAAATAGTGATGTAGATTAAGTGGATTGTAAAAAACACAAAATACAATTTTCATTTAATTTTAAAAACTCAATAAGAAAAAATATGATATGAAATTAGTAGCTTTACAATTGACTGACCTTTTCTAGAAAAATTTGTTTTTCAGTTTCTCTTCAGTTCCTAATCTTAATCATGATTTAATTAGCATGAATAGTTTCTTGTAACAGTAGGAATCAATTAGAAATCAGTAGTCATACAACAGCCTAACATCCATCTTAACCCTGTAAAGCCTGACACATCAGAAAATAGCCAGAACATTCTAATTTTTCGGAACTGAGATGTTTATTACACCTTTTAACAAAATCCAAAATATAATTAATGATTGAAAATTCAAGATTCGCGATTTTTATTTGCCATATATGCATAGACAGACAGTCCAGGCATATAGGAATAGAGGTGCCATATTATTTAGATTATTTCTATTTCTTTTGTATCACATTTGATACATGGGGCATTTTTGGTGATTTTTTTGCTCAGAAACTTCACGTATCAAATATGATACAAGTGGTTTTATAGGGTTAAGACTCTCTTGTTGTCTTTTTTTATCTGTTTTTTCCATTCCAGTATTACCCACGATGCATTAAGAAACTGTTGTGTGCAGGTAGGCCAGCTGATCAAAGAAGCGGCAGCCAAAAGTAATCTGAAAAGAGTGACCCTAGAGCTGGGAGGGAAGAACCCCTGCATTGTCTTTGCTGACAGTGATTGTAAGTAAAGTCTTGCTCTTTCTGCCCCCCATTTTGAGAAATGAAATGCAACATAAAAACATTTTATTTTGACTATTTCAGCATGCACTGGAATCACAATTTGACCTGTGGTCACTTCATACCTTTACAGCCTCAGTGGTTAGTGAGAGGCAATTTGGAATTCACTACATCACGTTGCTACTCAGAAATACGGAAATATAAAACATGTCAAGTCTCATCTTTTACAGGTGCAACTCATCTTTCAACTGAAAAGTTGAACGACTCACTGACCTTCTGCCAGATTATCAAAAAATATTTATTGTAGCTCAGCGCTGAAATGCCAGGGTTGCTGTGATTCTGGTAACAAGGAGAATAGTACAGACAAATAACAGGCTGGCAGATGAGTTTGAATAGTTTATTCATTGTATAAATCTGGTGATAAACACAACTTCACGAATTATAGGCCGGTTTCTCTGTTGTCACAATTTTCAAAAATTCTGGAAAAACTCTTCAATAACAGATTAGATACATTTATTGATAAACATAAAATCCTCTCTGATTGTCAGTATGG